AGACAGGGTGTAGGCTCCCATTGATAATCAATATAGGGATCAAGATAGGGTGTAGGCTTCCATTGATAATCAATATAGGGATCAAGACAGGGTGTAGACTTCCATTGATAACTAATATAGGGATCAAGAATATATATTTGCCTACACATGATGTTTTTTTAAGTTGTTAATAAAGTGAGCCAAAATTCACAATTCATGACTGCTCCCAATACATTTATAGAAATACATCATTACAATTATATATATTAAATATGTATACACATTCTTTAAGATTATGTACAATTTGGTTGCCACTTGGCATCAGATTGGTGCTGTGCATGTCTATACTTAGTGAATACCAAACAGCAAAATAAAGGAAGTTGTTTACAGTTGTCACTCTTATACTGATCTTCATTCAGAGGTGTCTGCATGGTTAGTTCATACATGACTGTAGGTGTTTTATAACGGGACAAGAAATTCCTATATATATATTTACATACCGAACCAATAGAAAGTAAATCTCCGGGCGTGTCGACAATTCCTTGAACAAGGTTACAAATTCGTCACTGTGTATCCTCCCCCGGGGACTTGTCCAGCCCTCCATGCTACCATCAGTCTTCTTCAGCTCAAATTCCTGGACAGATCAATATTAGGAGTAAAGCAACAAAGAATTAAAAGTTATTGACAGTTAAGTATAAATATTTTCTATTGCATATATAGCTGTAACAAATCCTCATGTTTTATAGAGCAGCATATAGCTGACCATCAACATGCAATCAATCAGAACCTGAAGCATGGGTTCATGGTCAGTTTTAAAGGAATAAGATAATAATTGTTGTGTTGGAGTTGTGGTGACCTACCTTAAGTTTCTGGTGTATACGGGCAGAAGAAATGTTACTGTTAAGCTTGCTGATGAGATTGACCACGTCTCCTTCCTCTAACAGTCCTGCTGGGTCTTTAGTCTGGTCTTGGAACATTTCTAACAACCATGTACAGTATGGTCAAGGAAAGTACAATTAGCCCTTACCTTACAGTAACTTCCCTACTAACGTTCACATACTACTGTGATAACAAGGACATCTGATAAAGTTTTCTCTGTTTTAATTAACAGACTTTTTTTGCAACCAAGCCAACCATATTTCTAAATTACCCATTCTTATATCCTAATTACATAAACTTACATCCTAATTACACTCACTTACATCCTAATTACATAAAATTACATCCTTATTACACATACTTCCATCCT